TACAAGTTTATTCGCTTTTTTTGGCACAATCCGTAAGTAACTTTATTTGTAGAATGAATACTTAATTACCCGATAGGTCAAATTTGAAACCCACAATAATGGGATGTCTGAGAAAGTGAGTGACTAGAAGAAATAAAATCAGGAATCCGGTCATAGGATAAAACGTTCGGCACAGAACCTATTCTAAATTCCATACAAACACGACAAATAAAACACTGTACCAGCATAGAATGTCTGGTGAGGCTATATCAGATCAGACAAATACTAAAAGAGGAGAAAGACGCGGTGTACAAGGTAGAACAAGAACACCAGAGACAGTCTACAAGAGCTTGATGTGACTATGGTCCAGAAAGAACAAGAGATGGAATCTTTTGTCTCGCTATAAAAAAGATTAAAAGAGGAGGTAAAGAAGCCTTTTAAAGGTTGTAACTGAGGTTTGAGGTTTGAACAACAGGACAATATCATGACACACGGGTAGTAACCCATAAATGCCCCGTTCTTCTTCTAACTCAAGTCTTAGCCTGAAGAAGCTTAGCACAGTGCAAACTCTCTGTAGTACCGAGGGAGGATCCTGTAATGCTTTAGGTAGATTTTTAACTCTACATTTTGCCTGGGCAGCGCCGTTAGGCTACTCTTTTCGATTTTCAACTGCCAGGGGATTTTTTACGTGCGCAAAAGTGCGCACGGGCGTCCGATCTCACTACCCAGAGACCAGGGGGGAATTTCTAGAAGTCCACATGAAAAAATCCCAGCCCTTACCGGGGATTAAACCCGGAACCTCTAGCACTCGAGGCGGACACTATGCCTCGAGACCATGCAGCCCGACAGGTTGTAATTGACTGCGGCGAATTTGGTAAAGGAAGAACTAACTGACCAACAGCTGTGAGATCAGATGCTTAAGAAACGCCGCCAACTTACCCGCCCAAGATCGAATAAGATGAACATGGGACCGATTGTAGGAACACAGCGCACTTAATTCATTGCTGTCGTCTGCTAGGAATGCATCTACAAAAGCTTCACTCAAACATGCAAAAAAGAAAAGGGGTGGGGTGGGGTTGGGGGGGGGGGGGTTGCTCTCCATATAGTATACATCGATACGGAAGGACAAATCCATTACACATCTATCTATCTGTCTATCTTCTTTTACCCCACCGGGACATCTCACAAGCGATAAACACCCGATGACACAAAGTACCACCATGTGGATGAGGATCACCCATGGAGAGGTTCTGGCACCTACATAGAAGTATGAATAGCGGATCTTCAATTAAAAGCATCCAAGACTTTCAGAGTGGTGATCTTACCTGGTATAGAGCGTATGAACACAAACGGCATGACTCTGCTCCATATTGAGCAGAGTGACCACCAACAAGATCTAGTTAGTCGCCAAGCTGCGAGAAGACCTGTTCAGATGTTTCTGTAGTGCCCATGACATGAAGGAACAAGATAGCGGGTGAGATCAAGGCTGTCCTAAAGCAGACAAAAGCAACACAGTGTGTCCAGCTGGCAGCCGATATGCTTCAACTGGCTGATGAGGAGTTAGTGGGACGCGAGTATCTACAACAGCAGCATTGATATTGCGACAATCAAGGAAGAGTGGCTGCCTAGTTGCCTTATACCGTTTGTCGTATCCTGGTGAAGATCACAAAACAACACAGGACTACCGTTTAATTACTTTGCAAAAATATACTGTCAACTGCTTAAAACGATCTTCTTATTATTATTAAGCGTTCCGAGCCCTTGAGGTTCACTGCTGCAGATATCACCCGCCTCCATTTATCTCTCTGGTTGGCCTTTTCTTCCAGTTAGTGACACCACGTGTTTGTAGGTCTGTCTGGACATTATCTCTCTATCGTCTTCTTGGTCTGTCTCGCAGTCTCCGACCGTTCATCTCCCTCGTGTATACAGTTTCCTCTTCTTTGTCATCTGACATCTCTCAATATGCCCCAACCATTTTAGTCTATTAGCTCTCATGATGCCAGTGATCAGTGGTGATTTAAACAGATTATAAATTTCGTTATTGCTTCTCACTCTCCATTCCCCGCTGTTTGCTTCTTTGACGGGTGTAAAGATTCGTCGTAAGACTTTGTTTTTGAAAACCTGTAATAAGGCTTCATCTCTTTCAGCTGTCCTCCAAGTTTCAGAGCTATTTAAAACGACTGGTCTTATCAACGTTTGATATATTTTAGATATTTTGTAAAAATTGGAAAGATAGTTGCAAAAAATATAAGTTTCCATGTTGAGCAGTTATGTATCTTTTCACCCACCCTGGGAAGATATCGCCCTAACAGCGATCTTTGCATATAATGTATACGAGAGATTCCACTCAGGCATGGACACTTGTGCTGCTGGAATTGGTTTTGAAGACGCGAACAACTATATGCCATTTGATGTTTTGATGGGTCAGCTTCTTGATCTCATTCTCAATCCTTGTCTCTCTATCTGAATCTCACTGGTTCTTTTCAAGCGGAAGGTGGTGCTTAACTGTAGTATACGATTTTTCCATTCTTGCTTTAGAAGTAATTCTATGAGCATGCTTAAGAAGATCTAGACAAGATAGAGTCGAAGACAGTGGTTACAGTCACTGATGAAATCGCGTCTGGAAGGAATCAGTTTCATTTTTGTACCAGGACACTCAGGGTCAAGAGAGAATAGATTAGCGGAATGGTTTCCTCACAGGGCCTAGGTATGTATAGGATACGCAGTGGACAGGGTCGATGTTCTCGATGCTTTCAATGAGGCAGGACGAGTAAATGATTCAAGAGACGACACTAAGTCAAAAACATTCAACAGACTACAGGAATTTCATGTAAAAAGACATACTACCAGAAATAAACACTAAACACGTAGCCAAAGAAGAATTGTAAGCCAGCAGAACTAGGGTTATCAGACACCGTGCACTGGGGGATATACTGAAGATGGGAACTACAACCCGATATGCATTTCAGACAATCTGTTGATTATCTAACTAGATAATTAAAGCCCATGACCCCCTTAATGTTCTATAGTCCATGACTTCTTTAACTTTCAGTAGTCTATAACTTCTTTAACATTCTATAGTTTATGATTCCTTTAACAAAATCTCTAGTCTGTTACTCCTTTGAGTTTCTAACGTTTTATGACTCGTTTTAATTTCTGTAGTCAATGACTCCCTGAACTTCCAACCATAAATAACTGTTTAAACCTGCCTGTATATTGGATGACTTACTGACCTTGTGTGTCACATGACCAATTAACTTGTCCTTCGAACATATAGCTTACTGTCCATGGCTAAGTTGGTTATTATAGGCAATCACTTGTTGTGTGTGTTGTCTACAGTGGGTCTTCCATCGCCAAATTTATTCGGGAAAGTCATCGACGATGCTTGTCTAGTGAAAGACGGGATTGTCTGCACACTGTACGACCGGGACAAAATCAGGTATTGAACTCTTCAGTTGTACACCTGGCGTAGTTTGTATTTTCCCTGTCTGTAGTTACTGTTATTCCTGTCACTGATCTGGCGCAGAATTAGAAGCTGAACTGCGTGCTATATAAGGCCAGTCTAGTCATCTATTCTGGCTCTACCAAGGCAACCGTAATTAAATTCTTCTTCTTCTTCTTCTTTTTCTTTTTCTTCTTCTTCTTCTTCTTCTTCTTCTTCTTCTTCTTCTTCTTCTTCTTCTTCTTCTTCTTCTTCTTCTTCTTCTTCTTCTTCTTCTTCTTCTTCTTTTTTCTTCTTTTTCTTCTTCTTCTTCTTCTTCTTCTTTTTCTTCTTCTTCTTTTTCTTTTTCTTCTTCTTCTTCTTCTTCTTCTTCTTCTTCTTCTTCTTCTTCTTCTTCTTCTTCTTCTTCTTCTTCTTCTTCTTCTTCTTCTTCTTCTTCTTCTTCTTCTTCTTCTTCTTCTTCTTCTTCTTCTTCTTCTTCTTCTTCTTCTATTTCTTCTTCTTCTTCTTCTCTTCTTCTTCTTCTTCTTCTTCTTTCTTCTTCTCTTCTTCTTCTTCTTCTTCTTCTTCTTCTTCTTCTTCTTCTTCTTCTTCTTCTTCTTCTTTTGTTGATAACCTTGTTACGCTCACGCCTTTGTCAGTAACCAGCTAGTGTTGCCATGTGGAGATTTATGCAATCGTTCACTGGCAAAAACTTAGCTCCGGACTGCCAGGTTCCTGCCTGTAAGAGGATCTTGGGTTCTATCCATATAGAGCGGGACTCCGGTCCATTCGGTGAATATGCAGGTTTATTGTTATATTCAAGGTAAGTTTTTGCTTCTGACAATGTTTAGCTGTTGCATCTTCCTTCATATGTAGATTAGAAGGATATAGTTCCTTTGCCCAGTCACTGAGCTGAGTGCATGGCGTGAGACTGTTCCAAAGGTGGATTGTGTTGTACCTGCACATTTAGACAATGGCGAGTGGCCTGTTGCCAGAGAATGGTAGTGCCTTATCCTATTAATTACGTGTGCAACTACCGATCTGTTGTAAGTGCTGCTCACATCGACAATGCACTGCATTTCTAGAGTCGGACTGTCTGTGTTGGCAGATCTCTGCATTTAATGGGCGTTTTTGTTGTTGGATTGGCAAAGAACGCAGTTTGTGTGGTGATTGATATTCTGTGTAGTTTTCATTGACACAGAACGAAGCAACAATGGAGTGACCCGTTGACCATAAAGGTGGAAATAGGATAGTCTGATGATTACCTGACAGAACCTGATGTTAATATAATTGACCTTGTATAATTGGACACTAGGGTATGTGATAATGGCCATAGCTGACCTGTGTGATCCTGATAACCCTATCGGAATAGTGCTGACGATTCTCCAGCTTTTGAGTCTAGGGCGAGCACGTCGATGATATCATAGTGTCTGTTTGGCGAATTGTATCTTTTTGAGTGGATCAGTGCCACTTTCTGTCGACCAAACATATTTGCTTTATGATAATTTGATTTATGACTTTCTTCAATGCTGGATGGCTGTCCAGGAGTGTGTATGAATGCATAAATACATACACAACATACATAAATAATATATGCACACACAAACATACACACTCACACACACACTA